TCAACCACACCTGATAAATGAATTGAAAAGGAAACCTTGTTATGTTTTGAAATGAAAATAAATAAATTAATAAGCCTACCACAAGAGTTTCCTTCTTTTTTTCACATGCCTGTAGACCTCTCTTGCCTTTTCAATCTCCTTTGTCAACTCCTTTCACTCATGTTTTTAAAGTGTTTTCCATTTTCCCAGCTTAGCTCCAAAACCTATTTAATCCCTTCTCCTCGTCAGCTCACACCTGGCACCGGGTACTTTTGCCATCCTGTCTCTACTCCATTTCTCTTGTGACACAGATCCAGGCCTTAACTTCTTCCTCCATTGAGTTCTCCTTTACTCACCTGGCTCACCCAGGCCTCCCATCCATGATATCCATCCCCCAAGCCCTGGGAAGTGGATATATTCTGGGAGGCAGAGCTATAGCGAGATTATACCTTGGCAACAGAAGCCTGAGAGCAATTTTCCTGACTCCCTGATCATGATGCAACAGTCCCAGTGAATTATAAACCCTGAAATTAAGACTGATCTATTAAATAACTTCACTTTTCAGAGGAACACTGGATTTGTCCGAGTCAAATCATATAACTAGCCCATTTTCATCGGGGAAAAGAAGTATTTTGCTCCTGCCACAATATTTTTGCGTGTGTACGAAAGCAAATTACTGGTTTACACAATTTCCTAAATCTTGAAAAACAAAATGACAAAACCATTACACTCAAACCTGTACCTGTTTGTAGCAAAGATACTGGTCATCTATAGCCCTATTTTCAAACAGGGAATGCCTTCAGCATCCTAATAGCCCCTCCCAGAGCATAAAATCCACAAACAAAACAAACAAGCAGCAATATTAGTTACATATTAGCTTTATGAATTCTCTAGCCTGTTTGTTTGGTCTTTTTTTTCTAGCAGTTTGGACTGGAAGACTACTGTATATGTTCAAATCTCAGCTGTGTTTATTGATAAATAGACATGTTTTTAGAGGTCAATTAGCTTACCACGACCTGCTTTTCTAATGGAGAGAGTAATTTCAGTGTTGTATATTTGTTAACCCAGCTGAGTGTAATTTCCCATTGTTCACACAACAGAAATACTATTCCCTTTCACTGAAGTGAAGCTGTCAGATATTGAAGATATAACAGGCAGGCACAGGAAGAAGCCACCAGCCACATCCTGTGACTGATTTTGGCCATACCCATTGACCTTTTGTAACCTCATCATCACAGAGATCACATTTTGCACACATACCAAAGTCCAAACTACAAGTTTCCTTGTTCTGTCAAGCAAGCTGAGCTCATTTTGTCTCTCTTTCCAGCTGGAGACACCGCAGACACTTTTACTCCCATGGATGAGCTTTGGATCATCCCACAGGTTAGAAATGCTCAAAATGCCTTCTATGGTAACATCCCTGGATTCAGAGTGCCCTAGATGTCACCCTACAGTTACTTAAAACCAACATAAAATAACACTGCCATAGAAAAGAAGGGTCATATTCCCTTCCTCTCCCACCATAGTACAGATCAGGTGGTTTATTTTGGTGGCAGTGCCAGCTTCTGTGGACTTAGAGCGTTCATCCAGTGACTCACAGCACAGAAAATATCAGCCTCACCTTTCCACACTAACTTTTCTCTGACTGATGAAAGCAGAAATCATTGTCCAACACTTCATTATGTTGGAGACTCTACAAATACAAAGGAAAAAGATTGCTTCTCAGAGTAGAAAATGTTTACGGAATATGCCAGGACGCTTCAACAGACTTTTCTTGGAGTTCATAAAACCAGTACCAACTAAGTATTTCCTTTATGTAATATTTGTATTTCTAACTGGCTTGCTGCAATTGGTCTTTTCGATATAGTTATTTTAAACCTGGTTCTTTTGGAATGTTCTATTTTCTGAAGGAGGGTTTTACTTTCTTGTGTTCGATTCATAGCCCGGGGCAACGCACCTGAATGCCCAGTTCTAATTTTTCACTAAACAGTAAATCGAATTACCCAGTTAATTTCAGAGGTATACTCAGGTAGGAAAAGCACACATCAGCAAGGAGGGCAACAGTACTAAAGAAGGGCAGTGAACAGCTGTATTAACAGCAACAGGAAATAATTAAGAAATCGAACAAAGGAGTTGTGAGAGAAAATTTAAAGGACTGAAACCAAGCCTATTTTGCTGTTAAACAACTATGAGAGGAAAGGAATTATACAATTCCCCATATGGTTTTGCTTTATTCTGTCCCCAGGGGAACTCTGTCCCTATTGTAAAGCTAAGCCAGTTTCATAAGAGAAACATACAGAAGAAGGTATTTTGTCCCTGTTTTTAAGTCAGTTCTCCCTAGTTTCAATGTAAAGAAAATCTTTAGATATGAAGATGCCATCAGTCCCTCCTAGTTCTTAGAGAGAAAATAGGATTGTTCACAATGTAGCCCAAACAAAGGACAGTAGTAAGTACTAGAATTTGACAGATTTTAAACCTTTTGCTCCAAAACTGTGAGATATGAGAGTCATGTAATTCTCTAGTTCTACTGATTTATTTTTTTTTAATTTAATTTTTTTTTGTTCTTCCTATGCATATGCTCTCAGTCCCTCTGGCAGATGTTCTCAGAAAGTACTGAATGCCCACCAACAAAAATCATGGCAGTCACAAAGCACTTCCAGTAGTTACCACTTTATTTTAAAACGCAAAAGAAAATCATTGCCAGAATCAGCCTTTTAAAATAAATCTAGATGTTACAGCATCTTCCCAGAACGTGAGAGATGTTGTCAATATCTTTTTTTTCCAGTGGTGATTTAATATTCATGTTTCCAGAAACAATCCTAATCCCACTGATACACCAGTGAGAGCAATCTGTGTTTTCTGCCCTAAAAGTAATCCAAGACCCACAGAATCAGAATAGCATAAAAGATATCAGTTTTCCTGAAATGGAGAACACCTGGGTGCTCCTGTCTGCTCCTGTTCATGCACTCAACTTGGAAGGGTTATTTGAGACACACAGAAACAGTCCTTGAAGCCAGAACTGGAGTCCAGGAATTCTCCTTCTCTAATGGGGTCTGGTCTAGCTGGACATGGGATTTCAGACTCACCAAAGACTCACTGAAAGCCTGATAGGAAGCTTGTTCTTTTACACCTTTGCTTGCTTTACTAGACTACTTTTTCTCCAATCTCTTAAAATTTCCTCTTTGACAGAAAATCTGCCTGTTTTTTACACTGTCTCTCACTGCCCTTTAGCTCTGACACTCGAACCCTAAAAACAGATACCAAAGATTTATGAGTTTTTATCATTAAGCTTTCAAAATTACTCTGCAGTGAGATTAAGGATAAACTCAATGGCATTAATTGTTCTATCTGTCCCGAGTCAAGAACATAAAACTGTGATTTACAGTCATCCTGCATTTAGAATATTAACTAGGTGAGTAACAATTGAGTGTTCATGAGCAATATTAGTAAATGTGGGCACTGCACTAAAAGGCTAAATGCACTTTAAAGGTCATGGAACTGCACCAGACAAATGAATTAAAACTAGAAATTACAAACTATGAAATCCACAATGTAAGGATGAACATAAAGGACACTGAAAGTCAATTTAAAACACACTTGGACACTCTCCAGCATAAAAGTCACAAAGTTTTCATATAAATGGATTTATCAAGCAGTTGTTCACATGACTGCTTTTTAATTAACCCTTTCACGTGGGACATTATTTGACAGGAGAAAAGGCCAGAGCAGGATGTGTTTTAATCATCTTGACCTCCTCAGCGTGGTTCTGTGTACATTGCATACAAACTAAACTTGCTTATAACCCTCAAATTCAGCTTAAAGAATAATGCAGAGGAATTTACTGTGGACATAGATACTTGCTGCCTTCCCTGACAGTCATAAACTCCCTCCTAGAAGAATTAAATGGTGAGCAGAAGGTTACAAAGAGAAAAGGCTGACAGTTTTTCCCAAGTAGGTGCCTGGCAATTCCTCTGACACAGCCTTTGCTACCCGTATCTGTCCTGACAGCTGCACTTCCTGCCTTTGCCTCTATCCAGAAGACATTCAGGAAGGAAGGTTTGTATCTTCACATGTTTCCCATGAAAGGACTTTGGTGACTAATGCCTCGAGTACTGAGTCACACTGACCGTTCCCATCCACACTCCCCCCCTCCAAATTGTTATTGTTCTCCCTGCTCCACTTTTCCCATTATCACAGGCCTTTTCCTCATTTAAATTGTATTTATAGCTTCTAAAATATCAGCAAAATTTAGCAATTTTTTTTAAAGGTGAGTATCACTGTTTTGCTTTACACAGTTCCTAGAAATGAAGTCTATGTCACTTCTGCCCAGTAAAATATTACAAAAGTCACCAACGTTATTCTGTTTTTTGGGGTGTGGGGGGTGGTGTGTTTATTACACTGACACCACTGTAAGACTCATTTACTACCCTCGTTGTTTAAGGGCTTTTAGTTTCTTGAGAATTCCGATATACATGGTGAGTGCAATTGGCTTATGTGTCATCAGCTTAATTTGATTCTCCTAAAATGTTCTTGTACTTCTCCTAAAATATTAATTGCTTCAGATGTTACATGCTCTACAAGGATTTGAAACAACCTCACAGACCACTCTGCTGAATCAAGCCTCCCTTAGAGCTTCTGCAGTGGAGAAATTGCTTTAAAAAAACAAGAGTTTTTTTCAAACTCGAGCTATTGATCAGAATTAACTTATTCAACTTTAGAAGAACTTCCTTTCAAAGAACTCTCTTGGAGCTCAAAACACTGTAGACTGAGATTCTGGCAACCTAATACTAGTTGTATTATTAATCATAAAAGTTATTCATTGTCCTACTGTTTCAAATTTACAGAGGGGGAAAAAAAAGTCTCCCTTTTTGCAGCACTCATTGCTGGACTTTGAATCTAAACATCTGACTCCTGAATCTACCACATTCTAAAGAAAACACACCGGTAGATACTGCTTTCTGCCAGCTAAAGAAGAAAAGGATAACTCGTTTAAAACCGAAAGTCTCTCACAAAGTACTCACCGAACTCCTAGCAACAGTTCTTGAGGAAAGAAGGAATTCCTGAATCGGAGCTGAATATGATCCTCCCCTACTAATTCACTCTGAAAGGGGTGTGGTGTAAAAGCTACAAAGGCAGGATTGCAACCTGATCTTCTTCGAGCGGGGATCGCTCCGCTCGGGGCTGGACTGGCTCTTTGCAGAGCTCATGGGCTCACTCGGGGTAAAAGTCAGAGAGATCTGCTGCAGCGGCAGGAACGCTTCCTGTGTAAAAGTTTTCTCGTCTGCCCGCGGTTCAGAGCAACTATGTCCTAAACAGCGCCAGCTAAAACGGGCTGCACCTTTAAAGAATGAGAGTTGTGTAGGCTAATCTGTGCATCTGTGCCTTGCGGGCTCTGATAGGGCTCGTGAGGATGGTGTATTCACTGTCTACTTAAGAGAGATACAGGGTGATGCGCTGCTGTTTTTTGTCTGTTTGATTTTTAAACGAAGCCTTGCTATTTACTGTCCATCCATCACAGTGCTTGGAGCTGCTGTGCCTCCAGCTAGAACGTACCATCTCTTTACAAATCACTCTACTGTGTGCTAAAACTAACCTTTAGTGTCAGTAAGAGTACCGTGACTGAAGATAGGGATGGGGACTGTAGACACCCTCTCTGAGACCTTATAACTTGTGGATGCAGAGGCAGATGTCCAGAGTCTTAGTGCGAATTTCCAAGGTAATGAATTAAACAGTAACAGAGACAGAAATAACAGCTGAAGAACAATAACTTACACAGTCAGTAGCTATAACTCACTGCAATTACTTTTTAGGCAAAGACCAACAGGTAGTTAAATTGCTTTCATTGAATATTTATATTTATCTGTTCATCACCATCCTGGAACAGACTGGAAGTCTCTCATGTTCAGTTAACGGGTTATAACCACCTCTGACACAAACAGAAGTGCTCCTGGCAACCCCTTAGATCTCCTGTCTTGTTCTGACTGTCAAAATGTCTGTAATACTTTTCAGGGCAAAGTCAGTTGTCAGCTGAGTCTACTGACTCTTAACTGGGTCAATAATCAAATGGATTAACTGTCCTCAAATGGACTAGAAGAACTCACAAAGTAAAAGGTGCATTTCAAATGCTGGGGGTGGGGTTCTGCTATACAGTTACTAATTAGCAACTCAGATAAAGCAAGAGTCAACCCAGCTCAGGAGGTCAGGGAAATGGAAATGGTCAGGCTGTCATTTGTGTGACACCAAGACTCTGACAAATATTGTGGGCCCACATGTTGAGAATTGGTGTCTCTCCAAGGGTCACAAGACAGACAATCCAAAACAGACACATAAAAATTACACCATGGTTTAAAGAGAGCTCAGTCTGTACACTTACAATAGACACCAAGACCACCAGATTTCAAAAAAATTACATACTTCTTCACTGTGATTTTCTTGGAATCCAGCTGTGTGGATGAACATGCATCCATGTGGATAGTTTCAAACTTGCTCTACTCTACAAGTCATTTACAAATGAGCTGCCTTGTTTTTAGTCCTTCTGGATGCTGAATGGTCTGAATTACAAGTCCATGTAAACATATTCCAAATCTAGGGACTGGACCTGGTCATAACCTGAAGGGAGATTTTTTGGTTTCAATGAGAAATATTTTTTTTTTAACGAATAGACAAGAAAGAATTTTCATGGTTTGTGTCACAACGTGCTAACATCAGTCCATCTTTTCTCACAAGACCTTGCTCAAGTCACTCAGATTTGGTGTGCAAAATAATAAAGTAGTTCTGAAAGGAATAGTCCACAGAGACATGAAAAAAACCCCAAAAAACAAAAGAAAATGCTACAGTTCAAAATATCTTTGTTATCTTATGGTCAAATAAGTTGAGAATCACATTTACAGAAAAGTACTTCGGGGAACACGTAAAAGAATGAAACACTTTTCTAAGGTCCTGTGGGAATCTAGAACCCTCTCAAAAGGTATAGCTTGCAAATCACAAAACTCACCAGCCTGGTTTTTCCTTAAGAGATCATCTAGTTGTCGTTATTTTCACCAAGCTTTGTTCCCCTTCTGAAGAACCCAAGAATCCTTACTTCAGGGATTTCCAGCCTTTGAGTATGTGACATTATCATTACATTCTCTCTTTATGTTTATTTTTTCCCTGTACTACAGGAATCACTTGCCCATACAAAGATCACAATTCAGAACTTGAAGATTTCACATGAATTCTGAGATCAACCCAGAGAGCCAAGCTCTGGCCAGTTATATATATATATAGTAGGAACTGCAACACTATTGAATGAGTGTGAGAAAGGACCATTTACAGCACAGAGATCAGCAGGCCAGCTACCAAATTCCCCTTGGTTTTCATGGATTGCACTGCCATGCAGCAGGAGCAGTGCAAGCCTGATATTCCAGCTCCCTTTACAAGCTGCTTTCTGCTGGCCTGTTTTGAAGTGACTCAGATTTGACAGTCAAAGGAAAGCACAGAGAGCATTTAAATTATTCTTCTTCTACAGACAGAATAGCTTTACTCAGGGATTACAGCCCCAGAACATCACAGACAGAAAAGGCAGAAAAGTGGGACAGACAGCGGGGCAGAAAAGGCCAACTAGGAAGGTCTGAAAGACAGAAGACAAGACCAGAGCTACTGAATACATTCCAGATAATTCCTATCACTGAGAACTTCCATAAAGAACTTTTGCACGTACACAGCTCCGTTTTTCATGATTGCTATTCCTCACTATGTATCTACAAGCAGATACATGCAAAAGTATGGATAAAGTAAACTAAAACAGAGATGCCATGAAAAAAAATCACTTGTACAATTCTTGCACTACTCAGTACTTGGCTCTGAAGAGTTCAAAGCTAAGACAATCAGATTTTAGCCTTCAATATGTAGAATTCCTACACACAAACTGAGAGATCAGGGAATTAAAAACAAAAAAAAAGGGGAAAGCTTTATGTGAGAGGTCAGCATGATTAAAAGCCTGATGAACGAACAGACACTGACTGAAAAGGCACACCACCAGTTACCATCTGACCACAGGAAAAATCCTTCTACTCCACGTTGTCAGCTGGCAGCTCTCACTGTGAATCTGCTTCTGGTGGCAGCTCCACTTTTCCCTACAGCAAAAACAGGAGAGAATGTGCCATCCCAGAAAAGCCTCTCACTTGAGGCTCTGTCTTGACTACTGCCCTGCAGAAGGTAGGCAAGGATAGCAACAGTAAAAGTCTTAGTGTCTGAAGAATGCTTACGACCCACAGGTTAAAAACAACTGACTCTTCCATGAGTCACACCAGTGACTTCAGGTCAGATACTCCACCCTCCTCTCTCCATCATCTTTCATTTCCACCACAGTGTGGCAAGCTGTTACTGGTTTTACACTGGGAGCACTGCTAGTGCCAGCAAGACATCAGGAAAATGGAAGATAAGAGCTGATAACTAACCTGATGTCTTCAGAGGTCTGGGGCAGAGTCACTGTCTTCTGGAATGTCTGTCAGCCTTTTGGGTTGGTGCTCATGTTGACTGAGAGGGATAGAGGAAAAGGCAGCGAACTTCAAATTCAAATTTTCCAATACTGTTCACCTTTATTTGGATGGGGTTTAGCAGAATATGTTATACTTCACCATAGTGCTAAATACGTGGTGTTCAGAAATTAAAACAACGCACAAATACCCAATCTTGTTACTGTGCCAGAACAGATAAGGCAAAACAAAATTATATGTTAAGTTTTATGCGTACATATATATATAATACAATTATTTTTTAAGCTCTGTCATTCTTGAAGCAAGATTTACTATGTCACATAGTTGAAAAAACACAAAAGCTTACATAGGCTTTTCTTCACTAAGGCCACTCTCTCGGTGAGAGTGTGACATTGCTCGGGCTTTAACACCGCAAACGTCTGTGATGTTTTGTTGCCCTCTAGTGATGCTTAAGCTCCATTCAATACGACTTCTACAAATGGCTTTCTTACTGTTGCATTATTTTTGTTGTGCTTTTTATAACATTTAATATTTAAATCCCAACTGAAATACACAAATGGAAGTGAAAAAGTGAAGGACCTTCCCTGGTGAAAGAAAGATCAGAACCCAGCACCTGGCACTTGAAAACCTGTCTCTATAACGCACACCTTATTGTTCTTCCTTCCTGTAACTTCATGTTCTTATTGAAAAACCGTGGTTATGTTGACTGTTTTCTAAAGGCAGAAATGGAAATGACCAAAGAGGGTGACTATTGTTGCTGAAAGCAGAATGCTGAGATAGCACATCTAAAAATACAGGCTTTGTTTCTGGCCTCACTTCAAAGGTAATAATACCTTTAAGTAATACAGTAAAGCAGAATATTACTGAAGTTGACTGCTGGAAATGTAGGAATATTTTTAAAAGGGGAGAGAATCTTCAAGCCCCTCAGGCATCTGCCTTCCTGATTTGCCCAGTTACCTTATGCTGAACAACCAGTTCTCCCAAAGTGAAACTTCTGTTTTGCTTAGCAGAAGTACACAGGTTCTGCAGCCAGCTGATGCTGCTGTTCTTGTTCCTGAAACAAGCTGGGATTCTGAAATTTTCCTTCATCAAAACCAAGACTTAAAAAAAAAAAAGAAAAGAAAAAGGAGCCTTCTTTTCGTTTTAAAAATTATTCTTTTCTTGAAGCAGAACGCTTCATCAGATATTCTCCATCCTGTAGAAACCCAGTATTAACATATCAGCAGAATGTAACATTGCTTTGTGGATACCAGATTAAGCAGGGGTTAAATACCCAAGACATCTAGTAATCTGAAAACCACTC